TGTCCTGAGGCACTCGCTGCTTGGAAAAGCTGCACGTTCCATCCCTGCTGTCAGCCTGCTCTGGGTATATTAGCTGCCACTGTCCCCTGCTTCCTTCCCGTGTATCCAGCTAGGCTGGTGCACAGTGCCTGTGGGTGCTCCAGGAAAGCCTTCACGCCTCTGGGATCAGGGTCATTTTGTCCGTTCCTGGTCTGTTTTGTCACGCTGATTGCGGTAGCCCCACTGATGCTGCTGCTTTGTGACCCCCCCTCAGTCGGCCAGAAGAGCCTCCAACCTGGAGCGGTTACATGGGGAAGATGTTCCAGGCTGCTACCAACTACCTCCCTGCTCAGGTATCGGGCATGATGAACCAGGATCGAGCCTTTGCCACTGTCCGCCTGAACATCTCCGGACAAAGGAACATCTGTGCCCTCTCCACGTACGTACCGACCTCTGCAGCCCCTCTGCCTTGCCAGCCTGTGAGCAGACACAACTATCTCGGGAGAACACCAACACCGTGGCCCCTTATCTCGCACCCGTGCCTGCAGAGCACGCAGCCTGGGTGCGTGGTGTCTCTGTGTGCGAGTGCAGATGTGTTTGGGCTCATGATGCTTTTCTCACTAGGATTCAGAAGCTGCCTCGACTGTTGGTGACTACGTCAGATGGACATCTCTATATCTATAACTTGGACCCGCAAGATGGAGGGGAGTGCGTCTTAATTAAGAACCACAGGTAACTGTACCTCCAGCCACAGCTGATACAGAGGCTGATCTTTTAAAAAAATACGGGAAATTTCCCCTGAAAGACCAAATGGAGCTGTAGGAGCAAGAATGTTAGAACTGACATAATTTCAGCTGCCTGATCCAACAGACATGGGTGGGAGCCACGTCAGCAAGCAGGGACGTGGGGCTTCTTGCAGACACAACCAGAGACATCTCAGATCCCTAGGCGGCTGTGGGACATCTCAGCTTAGACAGCAGAGGTGTGTAGGCTGTGCCTTAGGAGACGCCTCCAGCAGCAGAGCGCTGGCCACCATGGTGGCAGGAGAGCAGAGCACCTTCTCCAGACGTGAGCGGGTGCTGGAGAGCTGACTTTGGGGGGTAGGATGGTGTGGAGCACCACTGGGAGGTGACTTTGCGGGGTAGGATGGTGTGGAGCGCTGCTGGGAGGTGACTTTGCGGGGTAGGATGGTGTGGAGCACTGCTGGGAGGTGACTTTGTGGGGTAGGATGGTGTGGAGCACTGCTGGGAGGTGACTTTGGGGGGTAGGATGGTGTGGAGCACTGCTGGGAGCTTCCGTAAACAACCCCCCTGGCAGATGCAGGCCTGCAGGCAGGCACATGCAGTGCCAGAGCAGAGCCTCCCGTGCTGCTGTTCCGTTTGTATGCAAATTTGATTAAGCACGTAACACCACACACAAACACACACAAACACACACACACACGCACATCTGGGCTACTTGGCTCCAGATGTGAAGCCTGTGGGGTGGGGTGCGATGGAACATGTGCTCCGAGCCGGGAGGTGGCTGGCAGCCAGGAAAATGCCAGCAGCTTTTTGCAAAGCCACAAACCAAAAGCGCTTCAAAGCTGCGCTGTCCAGCGTCCGGCCGCCCCGCGCCTTCGGACACCGCTCCCCTCCCCGAGCAGCCGTCCGGAGCTGGCAGGCCAGCTTTGTCTGTGGGTTCCTATTAGCATCAGAGGACTGAAAAGGGCCCTTGGGTCATGAGTTACGTTACATCACACTATATCTCTGCTCAAACTCCGTCCTAAACTAGCCAGGGCTGCTTTTCCCATCTAGCCCGCTCCTGTTGGAAGCCCTTTGGAGCCCCCTCTGTGATTAGAAACACTGTTTGCCTTTGTAACCTAAAGCTTTTGTGGTCAGTCTCTCCTCTTCTATTCTCGTGCCAGCATTGTCCTCTAGCCGAAGTAGTGCTTTCCCTATCTTCAGCTTCCCCCCCTGCTCTGCTGGCAGAGCACAATGCTTTCCTCCTCCGCAGCGCGGTCGGGGCTGCCGGCAGTGCCTCGATGCGGCGATGCGGATGGGTGATGTGCCTCCAGGAGACGGGGATGCATGTGCTTGTCTTAGCTGGTGCTGGGGGGGGGAACCGTTGGGATCAGGACTGACTCTTCTCTCCTCTCTTGCGGCCGTACAATTAGTCTGCTGGGCTCAGGAAAGATGGAGGAGAACAAAGAAAACGACCTTCGGCCTCCATTACCTCAATCTTACGCAGCAACTGTAGCCAGACAAAGTACAGTGCCTTCAGCTTCAACCATGCCAGGTAAGCATCACGGCTGCCCTTCCTCAGGCAGAAGCAAGGAGGCCACCTGGGGCAAACTGGAAAGTCTCCCAGCTCCCAGGGGTTCAACCAGCAACACCACCTGTGCAATGCGGACTGGGGCAGCAGGACTCTCTCTGGAGCTCACCTGGTTCATTCCCTGCCCCCAAAAACAGGCCAGGCATTTTCTGCTCTGCTTCCCAGGACCCCTTGCTGGTGCTTCTCCTCCTTGGGCAGAGCAGTAACCACATCCAGGCTCTGCAGTTTGTCAGACAGCAGCTGCTGCCAGGCTGGTTTCCAGGAGTTGAGACCGAGGGTGTGGAAGTCAGATCTCACTGATTTTGTGGCAAAATCGCTACAGATTCTCCTAAAACTGTTGCTCCGTAGCCTGACGAAGCTAGCACTAAAGGGAGGACTGGGTGACTGTCACACTCTATTCCCAAGACTTAAGGTCCACATACAGATGTGGATCTTCTCCTGAGGTTGGTGCTTACATTCCCGGCGGGAGGAGGAAAGCTTCTGCCACAGGAGCCAGCCATGTAGCCCATTCCCTCCTCCGCAGTGTGGGGGGAGATACCTTTCTTTTCCACAGTCCCCCAGAGCTCTGCCAAAAAGCCAAAAAAAGCAGCTCTGTGCTCAAAAGGTGATAACGTAACGGCTCCGCTGTTTGTTTCCAGCCTCCTTCCATCCATTTCTCCATAACCTTTTATATTTTCACTTGGACAGGTTATTCAGAGGACGGCGGTGCCCTGCGAGGAGAGGTTATCCCAGAGCATGAGTTTGCAACTGGACCAGTGTGTCTTGATGACGAGAATGAGTTTCCTCCTGTGAGCATTCGGAACCCCTAAAACTGCAATTCAGCCCTCATGCTAAGAAGAAAGTATTAACCTCTTATGGAAGAGATACTGTTGCCCCCCCCCCCCCTCCCCCCCTGTCCCACCTCCACGAAAAAAAAAAGGGACAGTGCCAGGAAAAGTTCACCCCCACGAATGGCAGCTAGGGATGGGGCAAAGATGCTCACACCTAATGGCTGGATCTGAACAAACCATGAATGAAGTGCAGATGCAGAATGATGTTCAGGTCTGACCTTTGTGCCTTGTGCAGGTTTCTAGTGTTGCCAAGAATAGCTTTAATGTGAAAAATACCATCGTTTAGAAGTAAAAACTTAATATTCCCTGTTGCACTTACAGCCAGTTGTATTAGTTTATGGAACGCAACTGGGACATACCTGAACCTCAGCAGCCTCTTCATTTCCAAGCTAACTGGAAAGGAAACTCCTTTTCCAAGTGCAGAGATGAAAGGCATAACAGAGTTTTAAATGTTTTATGATTTTCATATGGCACTTTCTCAGTTACTGTTGGAAGAAGATACTGGCTTTCTAAAACCTAACTGAAGCCTGGCAGTGTCTCTCCTGCTCCTCTTTCACACGTGCGTTTGTTGTGTTCAGTGTCTGGTCCCTGAATGGGCAGATGTTGGTACTGTGCTATGATCTGGTTGTAATCAGCGGTGTCTTCATAATAGTAATGCATTAATACAACCGAATATTGTAATGGATCTCAAGTTGTAGGCTTGGCAGACTTTTGAATCCCTTCCTCTGTTTTTACATATCCTGCTGTTGGAGTTTTGCCCGAAAAGGAGGAAGTAAAAGCTTTTATCAGGATCCCAGGATTTGTTCCCTATGCTGAGGCTCACCTCTGTGAGGCACTTCCCTATTAACTTGTGCAAGGTGTCACTCAGATCAGAGGTGACTCGCTCCTGACTCCCTTTGGAACAACACTGCCTAAATCCAACTCAAGTTGCACAAACCTTAGGCCAATTCTCCTTTGTTACCTGTAACATAACCTGCTGCAAACTCCCAACAAGAGCTTTCTAGTTCTACTCCGTTACCCACGAAGGATATTTAAAATATCCCTCCTCTGGCCAAAGTCGCGGGGCCGCAGAGAAGCTGGTGTGGCCCAGGCCCCTGGAAGGAGCAGCAGGACCAGAGAGAAATCCTTTGCTTCCTTCTGATGAACCTGCGCCTGAGCACGTGGTTTGGGGACAAGCAAACGCCAGCAAGCAGGAATCACGCTGCTCCTGAACGCGCCTTCCTGCCGGGACTGTGCTGTGTAAAAGCAGCCCCAAACCCCTGCTGCAGAACAGCAGGAGCTTTATTCAGTGAACTCGGAGCTGTCAAACTCCTGTCATTAACCCGAGCGAGCGACTTAACGTGTGTCATGTCAGGGAGGAGGTTGGTGTGGGAGGGAAGGCGCTTCCCAAAAACACTCCCTGATGCGGTGGCTGAGCGCCTGGAGCTGCCGTGCGGCCAGGGCTTCGCGTTTGCCCCTCGGCTGCTGACGGTAACGGGGTTTGCATCTGGTCTGCCAGCGAGGGCGGTGCTGGCTCCCGCCGCGTTAGCGCACACGGAGCGTTGGTCGGGATGTTTTGATGCTCTGAATTTCACTGAACTTCGCTGTTTTCTCAGCGCTGAGATGTTCGGTCTCGGTGACGCATTCAAGGGGGGTTTCGGGCATCGGTCGCTTCTGTGCGGAGAAGGAAGGAGAGAAAACCTGACCTTATCCAAGAAAAATGTTTTGACAGCATTCTGCTTTGTGGAAAGATGGGAAGGGTTTTGTTTGTTTTCCAGCGTGCAACAAAAAGACATTAAAAAACCTCAAAACTGGTGACAAAATGGAATATTCGCCCGCAGCCCACGCCATGAGTATGGCTTTGAACTTAGACATATTTCTGGAGAAACAGCAGTGCTCAGACCCAGCAGTTCCTCTCCATTTTGAAACATCTTGCCTTCCCCTGACCTCAAGCAAGACTTCAGAGGCTCAGCTGTTCAGAGTGAGGAAAAGCAGCTCCAGCCTAACGTGAAATCTGCTGCCAGTTGTTGAAACCTGCCTCTTCGTTCAACAGAAGGAGGGACAGACCAGAGACGAGACGAGAAGCCCGAGGAGGCCTCATAAAACAATGGCCTCGACGAGAGCGAATGTGGATGTTGCTCCCGGTTGTGCCAGGACTGCGGAAGGATCCCGCGGCAAGAGGTTAAACGGGTTCAGTTGCGTCTCTTGCTGGCGTTGACGGCGGGATTAAGCGCTCTCAGGTCTCAGTTCCCTCATGCCGAGGGGACTCGGGCGTTGCCGGGGTGGGCAGCAGGCGGAAGGCTCAGGTGAGGAGAAGGGGCCGTGCTGGAGACGTGCTGGGAGGAGGCTGCGCCGCCCTCGCCCTGCCTGCTCAGGAGGCTCTGCGGGGTGGGAAGAGCCAACCCAGCTCTGGCTGCAAGCGGTTGTGGCGATTCCGGCTGTTTTCTGGTTCCCTGCCCAAGCAGCTGCCGCTTTGCCGTGGGTTTATCGGTGGCTCCCTGCGGCGTCGGGAGCTGTTGGTGTGTGCTCCGGGCCAGGCAGGGCGCCGCTTGGCCAGCTCCGCTTCGGGGAGCCACCGTCGCGGCTCTCCCCACTGAGGCACGGTCAGAGCAGGGTTTGGGTAGCGCGGTGAGGGGTTTGACAAAAATCCTACAGGATTCAGTGAGCAAGATGGCCTGTGTGGACCCGAGGGGAGTGCAACCAGGGCATCTTCTTAAAACTTGTGGGATTCAG